AAAAAAAAAGGAAAGGGAAACAAGAAAAGCAAGGCTCCAGGAATTAAAGAAATACCAATTGAGATGTTTCAACAAATGTAGCCCTGGAAGCTCTGACTCATCTGTGTCAAGCAATTTGGAAAACAGCTCCTTGGTCAACTGATTGGAAGAGAATCTATTTCCATGCCCATTCCAAATCAAGTAATAGAAAGGAATGTGAAAATTATCAAACCTCATTAGTATCACATGCTAGCAAAATTTAACTGAAGATAATTTTTAAGTAGTGTATGCAGGCATACATCTACAGGGGACTTCCAGGGGTGCAAGTTAGACTCAAGAGAATAAGGGATTTCATTGCTGATATCAGCCAGCTCCTGGCTGATAGCAGAAGATAACAGAAAGATATTTACCTGTGTTTTATCAACATTTAATGAAGATGACGGCAAGTTAGGAAAAGAACAGCAAACAAATTATTTAAAAGGGGAAGGAAAAAAACCCACTGCCAACAAGTAGATTCCAAGTCACAGTAGCCCTAGAGTCTCTATGAAGAGAGGGTTGCCAGGGCCCCAGAAATCCGTACAGGGGCAGACAGCTCCATCTTTCTTCCTTGAACTGCTGACTTTGAGGTTAGCAGTCCAACCCTTAGCAGACAGCACCCCAGAGCTGCTTACTTAAGATTACATGTAAGGCTTTTGGGTTTTTTTGTTGCTGTTCTAGTTTTGTTTGGCCATGTTGCAAGGTTGATCTAGAAATGCTTCCTAGAGAACAGGCACCTGAGAACTTCTTCCAAGCTCTCCAATCCAATGGTTTTAAATAGCATATTAGTTACCCTCATCATTCCTATTATCTTATGAAAATATCATTTGATAAGGTTATAAGAGCTTAAATACGTTTCAGTTGATCTTATAGACCCCAAACCAAAACTTACAAACTCCTATGTGAAATACAAAGTTGGTTTATAGAGGAGAACATCAAGGGGAAAAATTGGATTTTACAATATATTTTTCCCCAATTAGATTTCTATTGTCTTCATAACCTTTTCATCAAACTAAGATTCCATATTTGTCTTACAATTAACTTCTGCTATCTGTTTCTCTCAGCTTGGCCCAAATGAAGGCATAATACTGGCATATGAGATATACACAATATCATTTAAATGAATATGAAACCACCATTCCTTGTAAGAGAAATTTACATGCCAAACCAAAGAGCCCCAGGCAATCAGCTCTATTGCTGAGTCTAGACTTTGTTACCTGCTAAACGCATTTTGAATAAATTCTTCTCTCATCCAATCCAGGATTTAATTTCTTGGGAATTTCAGTTCATGTTCAATTTCAAATTGTGAATTATTCATCTCTTTGAGTTTTTTCTTCCCCTTCAAAACATTTAGGGTCAAAAAGTGTAGGAAATTAAATTCAAACTGGCCAATTTAGTTATCTATTAACAGGGTTACTAAATATTGAAGTGTGAAAAATGACTTGCAAAAAAAGTAAATAAATAAGATTGGTGTAGGCGGCGACTAAATTGCCTAAGAACTTCATAAATTGCTTCATTCTGGGAGACTTCTCTCTTTATATTTTATACATTTTATGCTATATGCAGGTACTATTTTTAACACCTAGTTTTCTTAGCTTCCTTGCTTGTAATTTGGTATCTACATATATCATAATACTTTGAATAACTGGCATGAAGGAACTACTGCAAACCCACCTTCTCCACAAATAAAAAACAAGAATATAAAGGGGGAAAAATTACAGCATAAATCTGAGAAGAAAAAAAAACACACAAAAAAACCACTTCCCTACATCTAAAAATACCACAGGGAAATTAAAATCCTCTGGGAACCTAAAATTGGTCAAGGAAACAGATGTTTCAAGTTCTCCTAAGTATAGCACATGGAATAAAGTTTGGCACCAACAATAATACATTCAAAAGGACTGTCTGACTAAGTGCTTAGAATACTTCAGGTTAAAATGTTTTATTTCTGCATGGTTAGAAATTTTAAGGTCTTTTTAATATACAATTTACTCTTTCTTTACATTATTGATACGGACTAGAAAAACACACTTGCCTAAGAATTATGAGAATTATATTGTGGCATGGAATTGTGCTCTGTGTTGGAACTGTCTACTTTGCGTTATAGTTATTTGTGCTCCTTTTATGTCCATGACTAAATTGTGAATGACTTGCTAGCAAGAGACATGCCTATTTCATGATAGTATTCATGAGAGTACACATAAACCCTAATGTGGCATTTTGTACACAGTAGGTGCTCAATAAGTATTAGTAGAATGTGGAAATATTGACTAATCATGCAAAAATTTACTTAAAATTACCAGTGAACAGGGAGGCTATTTTATTCTTAATCATATTGTAATGAAGACTATTTTAAACTCTATGCAGTGATGATACACACAAATATTTAAACTATTTATGTGCCCCAACTTGACATAATTTCATGATAACTTGATGGCAATCACATTTAAATATATTAGAATATTTTTTGTAATACTGCTACTCTAGAATAGCAACTTTAATAGATGAGAAAACATGTTAATAATGGCCATTAGTCTGAAGAAAACAGGGAACATTAAACATTTTTTTCAGAAATAAATGTATAAGTTTAAACATTCCACTATAATATTTATGAGCAAACCTCAAATTAAAATTTATAAAATGCAAACTATCCAATGTTTCACTTAGAGAATAATTTAGACTACATTTTGTAATTTTTTTCCAGTGTACACATTAATACTATATAAATAAGATTCCTTTCTCCTTTAATGTCTTTGACTATAACTCTAAATAGCAAAAGGAATTTTGCTTTGATACAAAGCCAAGGAGATCCAATAAATGTCCTTGGTTATCAATCAGTACTATATCAGTCAATGAACACATTAAAGTGATTTTTCTTACCTTCAGGACTGCTATGAATGGTACAAAGTTAGCTCTTTGGAGTCCATTTTTATAAAGATCTGAAAGGGAAAAAATGATGTTCAGTTGTTCAAAACTTAGTCTAAATCATAAATTCGCTTATCTTTTAGCCTAGCAAAGACAGCTTTCTACTGATAAAGAAGATAAAGGAGCAAAGGAGAAGGAAAAGAACTGAAGCTGATTTGTATTCTTGCACCACATTACCCCATCAGTAGGAGAAAGAATCAGAAGGCATAAGAGGCACATCGAATGGCATGCAACCAAACAGGCTGTAAACGCCAATGAAAGGGACTGAGAACGCATCCACTAGTGGGTCTGACTCAGTGACTCAATACAGGAGGTTGACATTGCCTAAAGCACTCAACACATGAATCTATACGCTTCTTCTGGGGATCCTCATTGCTCACTCACTGCCATCCAGCCACTTCTGACTCACAGCGACCCTACACAACACAGTACAACTGCCCCTGTGGGTTTCCAAGGCGATTTATGGTAATAGAAAGTCTTATCTTCCTCCAGTGGAGCGCCTGGTGGTTTCAAACTGACAACCTTGTGGTTTGCAGCCCAACACATAACCACTAGCCCACTTCCTCATACTCCCCTGGGGGATACAAATACTTGTTCGGGGAAGTTATTACTCTATAAAAAAGATCTCTGTAAAGAATTAAAAGTTGTATAATAATATTTGCCTTTTAAGAAAAAGTAAATGTAACTTAGCATGTAGTTGTTTATATAGTTGACATCAAATAAGGAAATATCACTTCACTTTAAATTCAACTGTCTAAAAATCAAAGCTCTACTTTTATATATTGTAAATTAAATGCAGTCAAAAATAGGTATGTGTTGATACCCCCCCCCC